CTCTCTCTCTCTCTCCCTCCCTCCCTCTCTCTCTCTCTCACTCTCTCTCTCTCTTGGTCTCCCCTTCTGGGAGTTGGGTGGAGAGCTGGGAGTTGATGGAGGGAGTGGTTTTGGGAGATTGAGACTTGCCTCCTGTTGTTGAGATTGGATTGTATTACAGCGAGCGCTGTGTCTGTGTGTCTGTGTGTGTGAGTGTGTGTGTGTGTGTATCTGTGTACTGTCCAATTCCCTGGCCCGCACAGTGTCTGCCTGCTCTCCCCAACCCTCTCCCTCTCTCTGTCTGTGTCTCTGTCTCTCACCCTGTTCTCAACTTTCTGTCCAGCTCAGAGGATCGGGAGCTCTGCACTTGCTCAGGATTGACCCAAATCCACGGAGCAGGTAGGAACAATATCCAATATCCCAGGGAGAGGGAGGGAAGGAAGGAGGGGGGGGGAGAGAGAGAGAGGAGAGGGAGGGATAAGAGAGGAAGAGAGAGAGACAGAGCGAGTGAGGAAGAGAGAGTGTGGGAAATAGAGAAGGAGGGTGAGAGAAACAGAGGGAGGGAGGGAGAGGGAGGAAGAGGGAGAGAGGGATAGAGAATGGGAGAGAGACGGAGTGAGTGATGAAGAGAGGCAGTGGGGAAGAGAGAAGGTGGGTGAGAGAGAGAGGGGGAGAGGGAGAGGGGGGAGAGTGAGCCAGAGAGGGGGACAGAGTGTGGGAGAGCGAGACGGAGCAGGAGAGCGAGAGAGAGTGAGACAGGAAGGGAGAGAGGGACAGCAAGTGGGAGAGGGTGTGAGAGAGGGAGAGAGAGAGCGTGAGAGAGAGAGAGACTGAGAGGGAGAGAGAGAGGGTCAGGGAGAGAGGGAGGGAGAAAGTTGGTAGCAGAAGGGGAGAAACAAAGAGAGGAGTGAGAGAGAGCGGGAGAGAGAGAAGGAAAAGGGGACAGAGAGAGAGTGACAGACAGAGACATACAAAGAGCCAGAAAAAGTGAGAGAGAGAGGGGGAGAAATAGTAGACGTGCAAAATCAGATGAATCAAGATAACAAGACAGAGGGAAAAAGAGAGGCGGGGGTTAGGGACAGAGAGAAAGGGGTAGGGACAGAGAGCGAGAGAGGGACAGACAGAGAGACGGGGACAGAGAGAGGGTGACAGAGAGAGGGATAGAGAGAGAGACAGAGAGAGAGAGACAGAGAGAGATGGAGAGGGAGAGAGAGCAAGGTTGGGGGGTGGGGAGAGCAGTGAGGGACAGAGAGATAGAGAGAGAAAGAGAGACAGAGACAGAGAGACAGTGAGAGAGGGAGAGACAGAGAAAGAGGGACAGACAGACAGATGGAGAGGGAGAGAGAGAGAGAGACAGAGACAAAAAGACACAGTGAGAGAAAGGCACAGAGAGA